CCCCCCCCCCCCCCCCTCCTTTTTCTCCCTCACGAAACGACGAAACAAGTAAACACTCACACTCACACTACTAATCCAGAGAGTAGCGTTGACTCCCCCATGACGCTCGGTCACAGGGTCCCAGATTTAGCTTTTAGAAGCATTTTGTGTTTTCAACGTCTTTTCATTGGTCAGCCGGTCAGCGCGGTCGACGCTAGTAAGGAAGACACACAAGTACAATGGAGATGAAGGAAAGAGGATGACGGTGAAAGCACTCCAAAACGAACTCGAGTGCAACGTAGCATCCTTCGTAGACGTGTGCAATTTTCTTCTATTGCTACCGTTCTGGCTTTGATCCGGAGATTAGATGTGTCTCCCCCATGCCGCCCCGTCACAGGGTTCCAGTAAAAGTTTATGGCGTTTAGAAGTTTTTTTGGTGTTTTCAACTGGACTGAGACTGACTTTTTTTCATTGGTCAGCCGGCTAGCGCCGTCGATGCTACTAGTAAAAACACACGCATACGCACAAACGGGCCTTTGCTTGCAGCCACAAGACAAACACAGATGCGTTGAATAGTAGGTAGGGAAACACACGCACCCAACGTTTTTGCTTGCGACATTATATACCGCAGGGTCCCCGTGCATACATGCCAGCTGTGACGTAAAAAGAAAATAAGCGATGTCATTGCTTTCGACAAACACACAGACGTACCAGCTGGCGACGTTCATTAACGCGCGTTTCGAGGACGAGCCGCTGCTGTCGACCATCCTGCCGGTGGACGGCGCCAAGCCCGACGAGTTCTTCGGCGCCTGGGGGGACGGGCGGCTGCTGATATGCCTCGTTGACGCGGCCTGCGAAGGGGTGGTGGACCTCGACTTCATGCGGCGAAAGTCAGTGGTTTGGGTTGGGTAGTGGTGTATGCCGCGTGTTTTTTGGAAAGGGGGGTGTTTTGGGGAGTATTGGTTGATGAGGTTGGTGGATCTGGCCTGCTTCGTGGAGCAAACTACCGCAGCCTGTTGTTTTTTTGTGTGTGTGGTGTTCTCAGGATGACAGAGTGTGAGAGTGCAGGTATATGAAAATGGTAGGACGCCTGGCCTCGTGGGTTATAGGTAGGTGTGTTGGACGAACGATTCAGCAGAGAAAGACAGAGAGACGGAGAAGGAGATAGAAAGAGCAACAAAGCCGTCGGCCTGTGCTCTGGGTCGTTCTTTTGGTGGGGCATTAGGGCAATAAACTCACTCGCTCACTCCTCACTCCCGGTCACGCTAAGTGTTGTGCTGAGTGTGGACACTGGGAACGGCGCCGGAGAAAATCGATCCGGTCTGGTGCTTCTTCTCCAAAGAAGGCGACTCTCGTGATCCTTCTTCCGAAAGTTCGGCCGTTTCGTCACCGCCTGATATGTCTCTGTGAACACCCCCCGCGCCCATAACCAACACGCACGCACTCGCTCGTACACTCCAAAGCGAACTCGAGTGCAAGTTAGCAGCAGTCTTAGTAGCATAGACCCGTGCAGTCTCCTCATGCTGCTACCATTTCCGTCTTTCATCCGGAGAAAAGCTTAGCCTCCCCCATGCCGTCCCCTCACGGGGTCCCAGTTGATGGCATATAGAAGAGTTTTTTGTTGTGTTTTTCACCGCACTAAGACGGACGTCTTTTCACTCTTCAGCCGGTTAGCGCGGTCGATGCTAATGATAATGGCACGCACACACTCACGTAACGCTGACATATTTCTATACCCGGTCGGTTTCGTAGCGCGTTCGATGCTAATTTTATGAAGCACACACGACGCGACGACACACAGGGCGTCCAAGCCTCAGGGCGTGAGGTTGCGGCACCCGACAATCCAGCACTTCGCGGTGCTGAACGATGCGTTGCAAGGGTGCAAGAACATCGACGGCTTGCGGCTCGGGTTCGTGGGGGCGGAAGACTTCGTTCAGGGTAACCGGTACGATGCATGTGTCACAGGACGGGAAGAATAGATCTGCGAAAATGGATGCGTGTACGTCGGTGTGGTGTTCGATCTACGTCGATGTGTATACATGGATTTGATGTTAGATCTACGTAGATTCACATACAGTATCCAATAGTCGAGTTAGAATCAACCCGACGCCCACGAGAAACCTTGTGCACCCTCTCATCGTCGACGTTGGAGAAGAGCGACCAGGACTCTGCGAGGGCCCGGGAGCTCGGGGAGAGTTGTGTCTTTTGCTGGTTTACTTTTCTTTCACGTGCATCATGTGCACCCGTCTTTCCGAAGTGCGGAAGCATCGTTTATCCCGGTGTTCTTGTTCGTGTGTCGCCCGCCTCAACACGACGCGCCACAACCCCGCTCCTATCCCCCGCTGTTCCCCCCTGCCCACGCTGTCCGTTCGTTGCCGTCTGTTCCTGCCCTTCCCCCATTCTATCTGTTTTTCTTGTGTCTCGCTGTGCATCCTGTCGTGTCCGCCAGACCTGTCATTTTGGGCGTCGGGTGGCAGCTGGTACGGCTAGCCATCTTGCAAACCGCCAACGTCGACGATCGGCCAGAGTTGTCAGGTAACCAACCCCCCCTTGCATCATGGGTTTCAAGATTGTCGGCACTGGGTGATGAGGCCGGGCTTTCACCCAAGCGTTTTTTTTACCCGGGGTTGGATATTGCCATGTGTGCCACTGCGCGGAAATGTTGATATTGCCAGCACAGCACCAGCACGTGCGACGGGAGGTTGTTTCTCGGAAGCATTGTGGCTCTGAGTGTGTTCAACCAGGTGTTGTCAACGCTGCTGCTGCTGCTGTTGTTGTTGTTGCCGGTGTTGTGCGGCAGAGCTATTCACGCCAGAGGAGGCGGCGAAGAACATGGGACAGGCGGGACAGGAAGAGCTCGTCCTTTCGCGTTGGTGAGTACCTGTACAGTATCGTACAGTACAGCAGCAGGCTGGTGGTGCGGCTGGTACAGCCGGCCGCGGCGGTGGCCGTTTGATGATCGTGACGGCCAAGAGGGTCGGTCGTGTTGAGTGTTTCGTCGATGACGTTGTTGCTGGTTTCGTTTTTCCTGTTCACGTCTGCAGGCCTTCGGTTGGTTACTGTCATCGATGTTGGCGGTGGTTCCAATCCAACACCACTACCCTATCCGTAGTCGTTCATGCCTTCCGGTGTGCCCCTCCACGAGGGTAGATGCCTGAAGGCCGTCGGAACCGACAGCCGCAACAACCTACCGACGCTCGCTTGGGCTTTGCGCTAGAAACACAAGCCCAGAATATGCAACAAGTCTTCCGCTTGAAAAAAGAGGCTTGAGGGTGTACGGTCTGAAGGGCCACAGCTGCAGACCTCATCTCAAAACCAAAGCACCACTACCTAACTCGCCGGATTATTTGGACGATCGGCCGGGTTTTTTCCACATCCTTTGTCGCTTTTCGGTAACTTTCTCCGTCTCTCGCGTCCCACCCCCGTAAGTTGCTCCTTCCTCTCGAGCACGCGCGCGCGGTCGTTGCTCCAACAACAAAAATATGCAGAACATGAGCCCCCCCCCCCCCCCCCCCCCCCCCCCCCCCCCCCCCCCCCCCCCCCC